ATATATATATATATATATATATATAGGAATATATGGGAATAGATAGGAATATATGGGAATAGTGAAATCCAATCAACAAAAAGAAAAAGAAAAAAAAAAAAAGAAAAACATAAAATGTCATCACTAGTAACTCACTAGTGACAAAGGCATGTGTTGCTCTGCTTTGATATTGGGAGATCCCTGAGCAACGGAAGAGAACCTCCAGAAAGGAAGTAAAAAACAAGAAAAAAATAAAGAAAAATAAAATAAAAAACAAACAGAAAATAAGAGAAAAGGAAAAAATATATTTTTTCCCCATTTTCTCATATTTATAAAGAATTGTCACCCGTAATAGTAACTTCTTTCTTTTTTAACTATTATTATTATTATTATTATTATTATTATTATTATTACTATATTCTTCTTTTTAATGGTCTGTTTATCTGCTCTACTTCTCTCGCTGAAGTCATAATGAAGTCATAAAGTACGTGAACATCAAAATAACAGGGGAATTATACAACATGACAATGAGAATGATAAACTAAAAACTCTCAGAGACTATATATATATATATATATATATATATTGATAGAATGATAGAGAGAGAGAGAGAGCTTACTTGTACCATAATATGAAAAGAATATCAAGACAGACATTTACATAAGCCACTGCAGATTATAAATGCATCCATACACAACCTCCTTTTTACTTTAATTTTCTTCCTTTCGTTTTCTCTCTATTTTTTTTTTTCCTTCTTTTCTTTCTTTTTTTTTTTAAAAAAAACTATTTCTTTTCTAAATCGCCAGTTTTTTTTTTTTTTCCATCATCATCATCATCATCTTCACTTAAACAATCGCATAAATCTCCACACAAAACCACCCGGCCTCACACTATGACATCTTCGCAAGTCCTTGTCGTCATTATTATTATAATAATTATTATAATAATTATTATGATGATTCCTTCTACCACCACCACCTCCTCCTCCTCTCTGATCTATTGAAGTCCGTCGGGTGATGGCCCCTAATGCGATTAGGGACTCTTCACTGGGAGACTCCACACGTCTGGTGTACGCTAATTGATCGACCCACATTTCCCGCCTGGGATCGTAGGGAAGTCTATACCGCACATGTTGGCGTAAACGTTTTTTTCTATTTCCCTTTGGGCGTGTGGGCTCTACACAATCCGGCTGTGGTCCACGGGCCACCGGTGGTTTTCCCGTTACGGGAGATATAAATACCTGCGGGGCTCTGTGTCCATAGATACCATTTGGAGCATTAGGAATAGTGGATTGATTTTGATTTTGTTGTTGATAATAATGATGATGATTGTTGGATCCATTTAGAATACTGTTATCTGTGCAATTGTTGGATCCATTTCCATTAGGGTTGCGGGATTGTGGTGTTACTGGGAATGGGGATCTATTTAATAGACTCATATCATACTGTTGTTGTTGTTGATATTGTTCATATTGGGGTCTCTGCTGGGGAATGTACGGCAATTTATTATTATCTGCCGGTGGAGGGAGAAGAACAGTCGTCATTCCAACAGATGTATCATGTCCATTCATACCAGGAGGAATACATTGTTGTTGTTGTTGTTGTTGATGCTGTTGATACTGTTGTTGATATTGTGGAGGGTGCTGTCGATATTGATGATGATGATGATAGTGATGATGACGGTGATAATACTGTTCTTGTTGATGACAGGGAGGATGTGGAAGCATTATGTGGTGATAAGAAAGAGAAAGAGAGAAAGATAATATATATATATATATATATACCCAATACCTCTTCTACGTGTAATATATATATATATATATATATATATATATATTACTGAGAGATGTAAAACTGGGGAGAAAGATCTAAACTCTTTCTCTTCTTCCCTTTTCTTTTATCCTTTTCCTCTCACTCTCTCTCTCTTTCTATATATATATCTCCCACCAGTAATATTAATACTATATCTTCTTTCACTCTTCTTTGTTAATGTTATTACTGTCGCTATCGTTACTCTTACTCTTACTATTATTATTATTATTATTATTATTATTATTATTATTATTATTATTTATTGTCCTTACAAGGTTCTTCTTGCCACTACTTCTGTGTACCTCTACACACTCCCCACACACACAGTGGAGAGGGAGATGAACTTACGTGCCGCTAACACTATAAAGAAAAAAGAGAAAAGAAACAACAGAAGAGTGATGGGAACGATTAGAGAGAATACATACACAGAAAAACAATAGAAAAGGTAACAACAACAACAACAAAAAAAAAAAAAAAACGGAACTCAACAACCAAACAAACAAATAAAGTAAACAAAGAAGAAAAAGCAAAAAAGAAGATCAAATAAAAATAACAATAAAAAAAAGAATAAGGGCCACAGAAAGAGAATATATATATATATATATATAGTTATATTTACGTAACTCTATTCACATGTATTCACTTGTATGGACTATGGGAATAGAAATAAAGTGGTTCTCTATTCTGCCGTTTGATAAATATATCTGCAGTGAATAAACCAAAATTGAACAGGGAAAGACAAAAACCAATATATATATATATATAAATACCGTTTTATGTATACACATTCTCAAGAAGGAAAAAAAAATACGGATGCAATTTCAGTTATTATATGTTCTGATAACCTTCTTCCTTCTTCTCTATCTTTTCCTACCATTTCATAACATCCCTTGACATCCATCCATCTTCACATGATCAGAAATCCACATTTCTTCCTGTTAACAAAATAATAAAAAAAAGATATGAATGTTCTCACCAGCACTGTTTATTGACATGACTGTACGATATACATATATAATTACAAACCCAGAGTAACATAACAGCTTATATTATTTC